GCAAAGGGGAGCCGCGGGGCAAGGAGAGAGCGGGCTGCTGTGCCACGGCGTAGGAAGGGTGAGTAAGAGTCGGGCGCTCGGGGCTGTGCACAGTAGGAGTGGTTTTGGTAACGAATCGGGGGAACTCATGGAGGAAAAATCCTTTGGGAATTATTAAACTGGTGCAACGGCAGAGCAGGGCATGTCTGTGTCGCTGGATCTGGGAGGGCGGCACTGCGCGTGTGTGCTCGGGGCGGCCGCAGTGGATGCCTCCTTGGAGATATCAGCCACAGTGAGATTGTTGGGGTGAGTTATCATGGAATCATAGGTTGGAAAAGACCTCTGAGATCATGAAGTCCACTGTCAACCCATCACCCCCGTGCCTGCTAAACCATGTCTCAAAGTGCCACAGCTAGATGTTTGTTGAACCCCTCCAGGGATGAGGACTCTACCACCTTCCTGGGCAGCCTGTTCCAAGGCCTGACCACTCTTTCAGTAAAGACATTTTTCCCAATATCCAATCTGAATCTCCCCTGACGCAACCTGAGGCCATTGCCTCTTGTCCAGCAGCAGCTCCCTGCTGTGGCCGCTGACGTCAGGGCACTGGGGTTATTGCTAAAGCGATGGGAGCGTGCTCTGGAAAGCCCAAAGAAGAGCTAAATCAAGGGAGAGGCAGACTTCTAGGCCAAGTCTCCTGCGTTCATCCGATTTGCCTGGGCCGCAGGGCAGCACTGCGAGGGATCTGCGTCAAACTTTCAGGCCCAGCGACGACGTGGAAGTTTAAATCCTGTCCGCTTCCAGGGCTGAGGTGGCCAAGGGAAGCCAGGGCGATGGGGATCGGGCACGGAGGTTTAGACACCGCGGGTGAACGTTACCAGCCCGACGTGTTTCCTGTGCCCGCCACGCGTGCAGTGCGATTGCCCTGCCCCAAACCCATCAAAGCACTTTGCAAGTGAAATCTGGGCTGGCCGAGGTCCGTACGTTAAACGCCTTGCTAATGAGCATGGGGATGGGAGCCTGTTTGAATACCTGGGTGAGGGAAAAACCCCAGAGCCGCCCATACAGCCAAGGTTGGAAGACCCGAAAGGAGAAGCAGGGTGGCTGGTGGGTCAGAGCAGGGCGGCGGTGGCTGCAGTAACGGTGACACGATGTGCGCTGGCTTGGCGTTGTCGTAAGAAGGGGCTCCAGTCTGTTAGCGGGGATTTGGACGAGACGTCGTGCTCCTGGTGTGTGAGGTCTCGGGCAGGGAGAGCTGCGGGCGACCTTGGAGCGAGGGGCTGGTGTCGATGCTGCGGTCTCATGTGTGGAAGTGCAGTGGGACAGGCGCCTCGTGGGGGAAGGTGTCGTTCCATGCACCAGCACAGGCTGGGGCAGAGCTGCTGGAGAGCAGCTCTGCGGAGAGGGACCTGGGTGTCCTGGTGGACAACAGGTTGACCATGAGCCAGCAGCGTGCCCTGGTTGCCAA